TTTGGTTATCAGTTATATTAGGTTAGTGCAAAAGTAATTGTGATTTTGGCCATCACTTATAATGGCAGAAAACACAATTACTTTTGCACCAACCTAACATTAAACTCAGGCGCTTTATATTTTACACTGAAATATGTGAAAGCTAGCTCAGTTGATCTCTATTGTAACAGAAACAGTCTCTGTTTTTGTTGTTTGTTTAACGTTTGTTGCTCACAAGAAACAGAAACCCACTCAAGGTAGTTTATGGAAAGGGAGGGATTCATTCAAGGGAGTTGGAGAATTCCCAAGGCAAGACTGAGCCTCACGCCTCACGTGGGACTGGACCCGGCCAATGGAAAGCTGTTGTCTCATACCCCGTCCCGCCTCACATTACATGTCCCTTTTTGTGCCTCTTTTCTTGCATGCTTGTCATTCTCACTCGCTATGTATGCCAGCTTTCCCTGCAGCTCCATGCACGCTGCTTCTGTGACCCTTGTCTGCCTTTCCCCTTCCAGGCTAAAACTAGTTAGCTTTTGGGTCTCAATTCCAAATGTTTGGGAATGAATCAGTTAGCTCAGATGTCCCACTAGTTCAACCAGCTTTGTCAATTTAGCACAGCAATTCTCAGCCTTGGCTATGAGTTGATAACACTGGGAGCTTTAACAGATACCGAAGCCTGTGTCTCATTACCAGAAATTCTGGTTTCACTGATCTGGGGTGTTGCCAAACACAATTTGTTGGGATATGTTTAAGTCCCCAGAGGATTCCGACATAGAGCCATGGTTGAGAAGCACTGATCTAGGAGAGAAAAGGGTCATCTTGTAGGTGTGGAATGCTCAGAGAATGGGGTCTCGGCCTAGGTAGATTATTCTCCCAAAGGTGTCCACTAGGGTGTCCTCATATTTGACCTTAGCCTCCCAGTTCTCTTTCTGTATAGGGTGTGTTGGAATAACCTGTGGAACTTTAAGGAAAAAAAAACAAAACCTCATGCCCAGACCTAGTGAATCAGAACTTCAGAGGGTGGGGACCAAAGCAGGCATAGTTTTAAAGCTGCCCTGAGAATTCCGACAGTATAGCCAGGCCTGATCATCAGGCCGTGCACTCTCACATAGAAGTACCATCCACAGTCATGACTTCATGTATACACTTCAGGTTGTTTTTTTTTTATTATTATTCCTAAGGTGTCTAAAATCTTGGACAGATAGTTAGGAGCCAATACTATCTGACCTCCGAATAACAGGTGTACCTTTTTATTTTTAAATAATCTAGATGTTGTTTTTTTTGTTGTTATTGTTTTGGGGTTTTTGTTGTTGTTGTTTTTGTTTGTTTTGAGATGGAGTCTCACTCTGTTGCCCAGACTGGAGTACAGTGGTGCGATATCGGCTCACTGCAAACTCTGCCTCCTGGTTTCAAGCAATGCTCCTGCCTCAGCCTCCTGAGAAGCTGGGATTATAGGTGTGCACCACTACACCTGGCTAATTTTTGTGTTTTTAGTAGAGACGGACTTTTGCCATGTTGGCCAGGCTGCTCTTGAACTCCTGACCTCAGGTGATCCGCCTGTCTCAGCCTCCCAAGGTGCTGGGATTACAGGCATGAGCCACCGCACCTGACCTGTATGTCTTATTTCCAGGTACTTCCATTGCTCCTAAGAGAAACTGGGAAGCACCAGCTGTGTCAAGTGTATGTACTGCAGTGGGTTAAACATTGCTGTGGGGGAGGATAATTTATTACAGGGATGTTGGTCACATCAGCCTAATAGCTGACAGAAATGATAGGAAAGGCAAGACGTGGTGGCTCACGCCTGTAATCCCAGCACTTTGGGAGGCCGTCGCAGGCAGATTGCTTGAGCTCAGGAGCTCGAGACCAGCCTGGCCAACAGAGTAAAACCCTGTCTCTATAAAATATGAAAAAATTAGCCAGACGTGGTAGCATGTACTGTAATCCCAGCTTAGGAGGCTGAGGCACAAGAATTTCTTGAACCTGGGAGGTGGAGTTTGCAGTGAGCTGAGATTGTGCCACTGCACTACAGCCTGGGCAACAGTGAGACCCCATCTAAAAAAAAAGATAGGAAAAATGTTTATTATATTCTTTGCCTCCTAGGTCCTCCCATATATATTCTTGATAGGGAAGCCTCCTCTTGTGAGGGAGGGTGTAGGGAAACAGGCATTTGCATAGTTAGGTGGTAAGTGTGTAAACTGGAAGGCAGTTTGGAAAGTACTGCTCTACTCTTTAGAAATAACTTCTTACTAGTGCAGAAAAACATGATTAGGATATTCATGGAGGCATGGCATTGTTTTTCATAGTGAAAATGGGAAGAAATCTGTCTTGGGTTGAATAAATTATAATTTGGCTGTCTTGCGGAATGCTAGACAGTTGTGACAATAAGACAGATTTATTTGTATTGGCCCCAGCATGAAAAAGAAAATTGCTAGGCAGGATATGATTGGAAAATTTTTTTTTTAAATTTTTGAAAAGCGAGAAGATGGCCAGGTTTGATGGCTCATGCCTATAATTCCAGCACTTTGGGAGGGCAAGGCTGGTGGATCACTTGAGGTCAGAAGTTCGAGACCAGCCTGGCCAACATGGTGAAACCCCATCTTTACTAAAAATACAAAAATTATCTGGGCGTGGTAGCAGGTGCCTGTAATCCTAGCTACTTGGAAGGCTGAGGCAGGAGAATTGCTTGAACTGGGGAGGTAGAGGGTGCAGCGAGCTGAAATCATGCCACTATACTCCAATCTGGGCAACAGAGTGAGTCTCCGCCTCAAATTAAAAAAAAGAAAAAGAAAAAAAAATTGATATATAAAGGAAGCAAGCTGCAGAATAGTATAATTATATTTATGTAAAGAAAATCCGTATCTGTAAATCTGTAGGAAAGATCTAGAAGTAGTTCTGTAGAGCTGTACGGCAATTACTGGAGTAGAGGGATGGGCAGCATGGAAAGAGGGATTTGCGCTTTTAATTCTCTATACATAGTAGCTTAATTATTTACAGTTAGTATACATTGCTTCTGTAATGCTTAAAGGTACTTAAAAGCTATAAAGAACCAGGGGAAAAAGGAAAATGAATGGTTATCTTTATGTGGTGGGATTTTAATTTGTGTGTGTGGGGGGATGCGATATATTTTATAATGAAAAAGTTTTAATAATTGGGGAAAATCATTTTTAAAAATTACTTCAGGACTTTTAAATTTCATGAGCCCTTTCTGAATAATGAGGATGGGTTTGTTCTTAAATTAAAAATTTAAGTGATCAATAAATGAAAAATAAAAAAAAGAAAAAAAATTTCAGTCATTACCTCTTCTGAAAGCATTGAGAAGCTCAAGGAAAGATTGAATCTCAGCTATTTCCTGACTTCTCCCTTAGGTTAGGTACTGTTGTGCAGAGATTGTCAAACTTTGCTGAAATGATATCACCAGGGGTGTTGAATTCCTAAGAATAGAGAATCCTGGGCCCCATTTGACACTTACTCAATTGGACCCTTAGGCTGGAGTTGAAGGCCTAGGAATGTAAACCACTTCAGGCAAGTCTGTTAGCTAAGTTAGAAAACCATTGCTGTAGGCAGTACAAGCAGAAGTAAGATACAGGCCTATATTTAAGGCATTTACTAAGTGAAATAGCATAAGACAGTAATGTCAGTGCTTTCATGAGGCACTGTGGGATTAGGCACTATGGGTAGAGATAGATAAGCACTGAAAGAAAGAGCACTGGACCAGGAAGACTATAAATGCTTTCTGAAGGAGGTGAAATGTCATAATATTAAGTTTTGAGCCTAGGAGGTAGAGTTTACAGTGAGCCAAGATTACGCCACTACACTGCATCCTGGGCGATAGAGTGAGGCCTTGTCTCAAAAAAAAGGAGAGAATAAGCCTCTGATGTAGATTGTGAGCCAGATATTTCATTTATATATTCATGTAAGAAGTATTTAATGGACAGCTAGTAGGAGTCAGGCACTGTTAAATATATTGAGTAAGACAGTTCTATATAGAGTTGTTACATACAGCTCGAGGTAAGTACTGTGAATATCCTCACTTTACAGACTGGGAAACAAGATTAGCAGAGTTAAGTGACATGTCCAAAGTCTTACAGTTAGCATAAGTAGGGAGCCCTAGAAGCCTGAAGCCACTGTGCTGTATTAACATTAGGCAAGATCTGGGTCAATGGAAAGGAGGCATGAGGACTTTACAGGTACAGAGGGAAGTGTAAGGAAGGCGATGGGAAATAGTGACTAGATAAACGAAGGTATAAGGTAAGTTAGGACCAGGGGGTGGAAAGCCTTGTCAGGCTAAGAGGATCCTAAGTGGCAAATACTCACAAGATCCGATACTTGAAGTCTGGGAGGAAATCTCTGATGACTTGAAAGGCATTTTCTCTTCTTGGTTAACTTCACAGTGTCATCTGCAAGATTAGAGAGGGATTTGGGACTTCGTGCTCCCTGGTATATCCACAGCACTTAAAACAGTGCCTGACTCCTAGTAGCTGTTGACTAAATATTTCTTGAGTGAATATATAAATGAAATATCTGGCTCGTAATCTACATCAGAGGCTTATCCTTTCCCCCGTCTTTTTTTTTGAGACAAGGCCTTACTCTATCACCCAGGCTGCAATGTGGTGGCATGATCTCAGCTCACTGTAACCTCTAGCTCCTAGGCTCAAACCATCTTCCCACCTCAGCCTCCCAATTAGCTGGGACTACAGGCATGTGCTACCACACCCAGCTAATTTTTGTAGAGATGGGGTTTCACCATGTTTCCTAGGCTGGTCTCAAACTCCTGGGCTCAAGTGATCCTCCTGCTTCAGCCTCCCAAAGTGCTGAGACTACAGGTGTGAACTGCCATGGCCAACCTCAGAGGCTTATTCTATATTCTGCCCAATGAGCCCAAGAATTTAGCCTCTCATGTTTTTTTAAAAAAATTTTTGTGGGTACATAATAGGTGTATCTATTTTGGTATAAGCATGCAATACATAATAATCACAACTTGGAAAATTGGGTATCCATTGCCTCAAGCATTTATCCTTTGTAAAAATACAGAATGCTTTACAAATTCCATGTCATCCTTTTGCAGGAGCCATGCTAACCTCTGTATAGTTCCAATTTGAGTGTGTGTGCTGTTGAAATAAGCACTCTCGTCTGGGTTTTTTTCCCTTTCTTCTCCACAAAGGCTGATACCAACTATTCCATGTTTCATTTAGACTCTTCCTTTTTTATATAATTTCTGGCCGGGTATGGTGGCTTATGCCTGTAATCTCAGCACTTTGGGAGGCCAAGGCAGGTGGATCACCTGAGGTCAGCAGTTTGAGGCCAGTCTGACCGACGTGGTGAAACCCATCTCTACGAAAAATACAAAAAAAAAGAATAGCCAGGTGCAGTGGCACCTGCCTGTAATCCCAGCTACTTGGGAAGCTGGGGCAGGAGAATCGCTTGAACCTGGGAGTTGGATATTGCAGTGAGCAGAGATCGTGACATTGCACTCCAGCCTGAGTGATAAGCGAAAATGCTTCTCAAAAAAAATATTCTGCAAAGGTCTGAATGTTAACTTTTTAGTTTCATGTAAGAACTGTGCATTTGGTCACAGTCTCACAGTCCCTCTTGCAGCCATCCCTGGTTATCCCTTGCCATTCTCACTATCAGTCACCATAGACCCTCATCTTTCCCCTCTTACCCTCTGGCTCCCTGCCTCCAGCTGCCTCCTTGATCCAGTCTGTTCTGCCCATATTACCAGATGTGTTATCGTCAGAGGCTTTGTAACCAACCATACCACTGTCTTCTCAGACACCCTTATGGAGCTAAGCCTATGGTTGCTTCTGGGGCTTTCCAGCCTACCCTCAGCACAGTTTTTCAGCTGCGTCTCCACTGCGCTCCCACGTGGCTCTCTCAAACAGGCCTGCTTGCTGCTACCAAATAGGTCGTTTAGTTTTGCCGCCTTTGTACTTTGCCCCTTCTGTTCCATATACCTGGGATGCCTTTCTTCTTCCTATTTGCCTATCCAGATCCTTCCTATTCTCTTTTGAAGACTGCTCAGTTGCTAACTCCACTTTTCCTCAGGTGCCCAGTTTGAATTACGGCTCTTTCCTCTCAGTTGTTATTGATTATTATCTGTGTCATAAATAAGCACCCTATCATGTGTTACCTTGTGACATTACTTGCATTGCTGTCCTAAGTATTTTAGAGCACTGGGTTTTGTCTACCTTTACATCTTCATACATTATCTCCCCTAATAATCATATGGTTGTTGAAAATCTGTAGGTGCTCCATAAAATGAATAGTTAGACTTAGTCATGATTTTTAAGAGTTAAACATGGGTGGCAAGACCTATGAATATATATAGAAAACACCTTAGGAATCTACAAAACTACAAAAAGTAATAACTAATATAGCAAAGTTATAGAAGACAAGATAGATGTACAAAAATCAATTGTATTTCTATATACAATGGCAATGAACAATTGGAAATAGAATTTAAAACAGTGTCATGGTCAAGCACAGTAGCTCATATGTGTAATTCCAACATACTGGGAGGCCAAGGTGGTTGGATCATTAGAGCCCAGGAGTTCAAGACCAGCCTGGGCAACATGACAAAACCCTGTCTCTACAAAAAATTACAAAAAAGTAGCTGGGTACGGTGGTTTGCCTCTGCAGTTCCAGCTACTTGGGAGGCTGAGGTGGGAGGATCACTTGAGCCTGGGAGGTCAGTCAAGGCTGTAGTGAGCTATGATCAAGCCACTATACTCCACACCGAGTGACAGAGCAAGACCCTGTCTTAAAAATAAATAAAACACAATTTCACTTATAATAGCATATAACTTAAGTAGAAATAAAGTTAATGGGCCAGGTGCAGTGGCTTATGCCAGCAATCCCAGCACTTTGGGAGGCTGAAGTGGGCAGATCACTTGAGGTCAGGAGTTTGAGACCAGCCTGGCCAACATAGTGAAACCCTGTCTCAACTAAAAAATACAAAAAAAAAAAAAAAAAAATAGCCAGGTGTGGTAGTGCATGCCTGTAATTCCAGCTATATGGGAGGCTGAGGCAGGAGAATCGCTTGAACCTGGGAGACGGAGGTTGCAGTAAGCAGAGGTCACGCCACTGCACTCGAGGTGAGGTGACAGAGCGAGACTCAGTATCAGCAAAAGAAAAAAGAAATAAAATTAATGAAAGAATCGTAAGAAGTACACTGAAAACTTTAAAACATTGCTGAAAGAAATTAAGGCAGCCGGGCGCAGTGGTTCACACTTGTAATCCCAGCACCCTGGGAAGTCAAGACAGGCAGATCACTTGAGGCCAGGAGTTAGAGACTAGCCTGGCCAAAATGGCAAAACCCCATCTCTACTAAAAATACAAAAATTACCTGGGCATGGTGGTGCACACCTGTAGTCCCAGCAGAGGCATGAGAGTCACTTGAACCTGGGAGGCAGAGGTTGCAGTGAGCTAACATCATGCCACTGCACTCCAACGTGGCTGCTAGAGAAAGACACTCTCTCAAAAAAAAAAAAAAAAAGCCTAAATTAATGGAGAAATGTGCTTTGTTTATGGATTGGAAGACTTAGTATTTTAAGATGTCAGTTCTCCCCAAACTGATCTGTAGATTCAACGCAATCCCAATCAGAATCTCAGCAGGCTTTTTGTAAAATTTGACAAGCTGATTGTATAATGTACATGGAAAAGCAAAAGTATAGAATAGCAAAACAATTTTGAAAAAGAAGAACAAAGTTGAAGAACTCACTATCCGATTTTAGAACTTACTAGAAATCTACTACAGTCAAGACAGTTTGCCTACTGGCAAACAGGTAGGCAGATAGATAATATAACAGAATAAAGTGGTCAGCTGATTTTCAATAAAGGGGTCAAAGTAATTCATAGGAGAAAGAATGTCATCCCAACTAATGATGCTAGGACAGTCAGACATTCATATATAAAAAAGCAAACCTTGGTCGGGGTCAGTGGCCCACACCTGTTATCCTAGCAGTTTGGGAGGCGGAGGCAGGTTTATCACCTGAGGTCAGGAGTTCAAGACCATACTGGCCAAAGTGGTGAAACCCCGTTTCTACTAAAAATAGAAAAAAAATTAGCTGGGCACAGTAGCACATGCTTGTAGTCCCAGCTCAGGAGGCTGAGGTAGGAGAATTGCTTGAACCCAGGAGGTAGAGGTTGCAGTGAGCCAAGATCATGCTGTCGCACTCCAGCCTGGGCAGCAAGAGTGCAACTCCATCTCAAAACAAAACAAAACAAAAAGCAAACCTTGATTCATATCATACCATGTAAAAATTTAACTTGAAATGACTCGAGACCTAAATATGAAGCCTAAAACTAGAAAACTTTTAAAAGAAAACATAGGAAAAAATATTTGGGACCTGGGATTAGGCAAAACTTTTTTAACTAGGACATAAAAAATTGGCCTGGCATGGTGGCTCACATCTGTAATCCCAGCACTTTAGGAGGCCAAGCCAGGAGGATCGCTTGAGTTCAGAAGTTTGAGACCAGCCTGGGCAACATAAGGAGACCCCATCTCTACAAAAAATTTAGAAATTAGCTGGGTGTGGTGGCACATTGCCTGTGGGCCCAGGTACTCAGGAAGCTAAAGCTGGAGGATTGCTTAAGCCCAGGAGGTTGAGCCTGCAGTGAACCATGATTGAACCACTGCCACTCTAGCCTGTGCAACAGCGTGAGACCCTGTCTCAAAAACAAAACCAAAATTATAGAGTGCCACATTGCAAATAATGCAATATTATTCGGCAGTAAGAAAAGAAGCAACTACTGATACACACAAGAACATAGATGAATCTCAAGAGCAGTGTACTGAGTGAAGACTCAAGACCATCTGATTCTATTTATGTAGTATTACAGAGAGACAAAACCATAGATCAGTGGCTACTTGGGGTAGGTATAAAGGGTTGACTACAGAGGAGCCAAGGAGAACTTTTTGGGTTGATGGAAATGTTTTATATCTTACTGTGAGGATTATACAGTTGTACATTTGCTAAAACTCACCTAACTGTACACTTGCGTAGGCTTTATTGTATGCAGCTATACCTAACTTTGGGCGGGGTGGGGGGAAGTCTGGAAGATACTGGTGTCTAAGACTGAGTTAGGTCAGAAAGATGAGTAGAAGGAATCCTATTTTGTGTTGCCTGGTTAGTGCTTTTCTCCTTATTGCGGATCTTTACCAAATATCCCCACCATTCCATCTTCCAGTTGGAAGTTCATAAACAAATGCACAGTTAGTGTTATTTCCCTTTGAGCCAGGTTAAGTTTGACAGTAAAGACTGGAAGTTAATGGTGGGCTAAAATTGACTCTAAGAAAAAGTGATCAGAACTAGTTGGGACTTTCTCATCAATGGTGCCCACTTTTTTTCCCGTCACAGTGGTTTGGGCTCTTGAACGGTCATTTGGCATACCCTTATGTGTAAACATAATGAGCCAGTGTTGTTTAGGGTTGGTGAGGGTTGTGTACCATCGGATTTTTAAGTGAGCGTTAGTTTGTTTAATAAAATTGCATGGGGTGTTTCATATTTCTGGCCCCTGAGCACCAAATGTCCTCAGCACTTCAGTCATTGCGGCAGCCAAAACCACCCCTACTCATTTTCAAAGACCTCAGGGGTTTCAGGGAAAGATGTACTTGGCTTGGCAGATAGTGCACTTACGTAGTTGGAGTCAAGAATGCAGGATTTGAGTCAGAAAACCTGTAATCAAATATTGTCTCTGTCTCCTACTGGCTTTGTAGTGTTGAGTGTAACCACCCCTTTGAGTCTGGGTGTCCTTGTCTGCCAGGGGATGGTTGGACTAGATGCCCTCTCAGGGCAATCATTTTTTATTCTGCAGTTTAGTGTAGTACAGTGTCAAGACTCATATCACTGGCCAGGCACAGTGGCTCATGTCTGTAATCCCAGCACTTTGGGAGGCTGAGGCGGGAGGATCACTTGAGCCCAGGAGTTCGAGAACAGCCTGGGCAACATGTGACACCTTGTCTCTACAAAACATGAACAAAATTAGCTGTGCGTGATGGTGCATGCCCCTAATCCCAGCTACTTTAGAGGCTGAGGTGGAAGGATCATTTGAGTCGGAGGCGGCATTGAGCTGTGGTCGCACCACTGCACTCCAGCCTGGGCAACAGAGCAAGACCTTGTCTT